CACAAAAATGTAAAAAAAATAGACATTTTGCATGGTCAGCTCTTGATCCAAGTTCTGTTTTTTAGAGGAGGGCTTTTCTTCCACTGACTTTATCATTCTCAGGGTTCGCTATAGGATGTGTACAGTTAACTGCTAGGTTCAGGGAGAGCCAAGTAGTCTCTCTGCTGTTTTACAATGGAGAAGAAGCCTTCTGTTTTCAGATCTCTGCTGCTTCCTTGTGTTCAGATGGAAATCTAACTCCAGCTGCAACATAGAGGATCTGGGCTCAGGGATGTCTTTGATGGTCCTACATGTAGAAGTCACTTTTAGACTTCAATTAACATTCTGCTCCTGTGCCTCATACAGTCCACACAGCTCAGCATACACCAGCATGTATAAATATAAATCCTGGGCAGATATTACTAGTATTGTGGACACAAAAATGTGTGCATTAAACTATATATCCTCCTCGCTGTGCCAGGGTTTTAAGTGTGTGCCATTAATAATACCTACACATCTGCTGTGTCTGACTTTTCTTTGTGCTCTTTAGTCTTGTCCTTGTTGTTACAAAGGGATATTGGTGATAAAGCAGAGATCAGAAGCTTATCTAGAGGTATATAGGATTCCTTTAGTGCTCTTCTATGATATGCTATCACCCTGCAGCATACGAAACATCGATTTAGCTCTTGTACAGCATTGATCGGTGGCAATCAGAGCTGGGATAAGACAACCAAAGTCATACCCTTGTGAAAGATAAAAGGGAAGGATATCAAGCTGGCTGTGGATGCCTGTATACTGATCAGCATGAATATACAGTCATAAGGAAATGAGGATCCTTGCACATCGCAATCCTATACCGTAGCACAGTGCTGCACGTAGCAGGTGACGTCACCACAGCTATTTTTAGCCGTCACTTTCTCTGCTGTGACAAGGGTGTGCAGTCTATTTTTGGGGACTGGCATTTTTGCATTGTTTTACAGGGGAGTGTGCAGTGAAGTTGGTGGTCTGCCATGTATTCCAAAACAAGGGGACTGTGGGAAACCAGTTGGTCACTGGGACTCCACATGGGAGGTAGCTGTTTTTATAAGACCCACTTGTCCAGTATCTGACATCTGTCAGTAGCATCAGGGCTTGACATCTTTATTGCCTGTTAAACTGATGGATAAGAAAAGTTTCATTCTGGGAATAGTAAACACCAATAATAAAGAATGGTTCTACCCACTGTGTTATTTTACCTGTTTTATTTTGTCATCCATATTTCGTAGAAAGGAAATGGCAGATTGCCATATGATGTGGTATGATATGGTTCATTGGCAAAGACCCCAATGACATACTGAAAGTGCTCTTCTTTATAAGATCTACATTGATAAGTACTTTCTACATGTTACACTCCCCTGATGGACTATAATCTCATGTTTAGTTTACTAATTTGTATTGAGATTGTATTCCATCACAGGAGTGAGCTTGGAGGGGTGGCTACTTTACAACACACACAGGGACCATGGGGAACAAAAGTATCCCCCCTCCAGAAGGAAGGACAGTGTCGGCACCAATTCAGAGATGATAGGAGGATCTACAGCACAGTGATTCACAAATAAGATAAATTTTTTTGTTATGATAGTTATGATGCTTTAATGTATTTTTATCATTTAACAGCCCAGATCAACAGATCTACAGCTGAGTGATGCACAAGATACATTTTTGTTAAAGTGACATTAAAGGATATTTTTCCCCCTCCCTCCAATGTTAATGTTAGCACTTACCTTAAATGATGTCTCTTAATCCGATCTTCCTCTTCTTTCCTGATGTTTTCATCTATCCCTGCAGCGGTGCGGCGGCTCTCTGATCCAGCGCTGACTCCTCTCTGCTTCTGATCCCACGGTGTCTGCATGCGGGTGCACGCGTCCATAGACTTAACATTCTTGTGTCTCTGCTCGTCTCTCGGCCGAGAATCCGAACTGCGCATGCGCCCACCCCAAGATGCTTTGCGGCCGCCGGAGCAGTTTCATTTTCTCGGACGGGTGCGAAAGCAAGGTAAATTTAAACCGCTGTTAAATCGTTTTTTTCAAAATCTTTTTGCCAAATCTACTGCTTGATAGCAGTAGATATAGGCAAAAAAAACCCGGAGGCTTTAGAACCCCTTTAATAGTTAGGGTACCTGAACACATTTTTATGATTTAACCCTTGAGTTTAGTGTCACTTTAAAGTGGACCTAGCACAGGGGTAGGTAACATTGGCTCTGCATTTTTTGTTAATAGGTAAGGTACTTGAAAGCATTTTTATGATTTAATTCGTGAGTTTCGTGTCACTTTAAAGTAGACCTATAGGGGTAGGCACTCCATTGTTTGTTAACAGTTAAGGTATTTTCGTGTCACTTTAAGTTCATACAGTCTATTCAATGTCAATGTTAAATAATAATAATACAAAAATCAAGGTGTATTTTTTATGTTCGGTGGACCTTTACAGTCACAGGCAGGAAACTCTACTCCACAATGATCTTCCCATCATCAAACAGAAGTTCAACATCTGGAGAGTCTTAACTAGTGTGTTCCTTCTGGTCAGGAGTGAGTCAAGCTTTGGTTGTGTCTACTCCATTGTGCCTTGGTGAATAGGTGGGAAGACCACAAGTCACTCAAGTCTGTTTACCTTCATCAAGATGTGACCAGCATTGCTTGCTTGACCTTTGTGTCTGAATCATGGCTGTTTAGGTCTTGGACAAGGCACTGAATGCTTTATTACTGTACAACATTGAGGCTAGCTGTTAACTAGATACACTAAATTCATTTATTTGTTTACAGTATTTTGACTCCAACAGGTGTGAACACATAAGCTCCCCTGTGTATGGGGACATTTAAAGTGGAGTGTACAGAGAGTAAACCAAAGGCATGTCTACAACAGGCACCCCATCTGGAGGAGATGCATGCCATCTACACAAAGGGAAAAGTTCTCAGCCAATCAGAGGTGAGCTCCATGCATCTCCTGCAGGCGGCTCCCCTTGTTTCATCTACTAAAGTCTGACTGTCTCTCATGAATGAATTCAAAGCGATTACAGGAAGATTCTGGCTCCCTTCCCAGTCTTCTCTTTGTGGTTACACAGAACTTCTCTCTTTTTTTTCTTACTACAAGCACATGGCTTATCTAGGTGACAGCTGAAAAGACTCATATTTCATTAAAAACACATTAGGTGCAGTATAGGGAAAAGCATCCCATGTATTTGTCCCTCTAGCAGGAGGTGTTACATCAAAAGATGCCAATGCCATGTAAGCCAGCTAAGACAATACTAACATCATGGGAAGCTATTTCCTAATATCAGCTCTGCCTGTGTGTATTTGTGATGTGCTCCCAGGCAGCCAATATGTGACTGCTGAGAACCGATTCCTGCCAGGAGCTGCAATCAGCAGATGTACAAAATGTTTATTGCAATAATGAAAACTGTGGGCCAAAGGGGATGTGGGGGGGACACGGTCCTGGCTGATGGCTGAGTAGTCCTGGGCGTTTTCTTGGACCAGATGACAGAACATGAGAGTGAGGGTGTCCCAGCTAGTGTAATGGAGTGTCCATGTAGGATCAGCAGTCAGATGATCTCCTGAAACATGTGATGTGTTTGGAAGCCTGAGGACTATTCCAGCAGAGTCAGCTCCGATGTATCTGCTCAGCCTGCAAACATTGCCACAGCTTGTTACATTGTATCTAAACAGCAATGACTGATTCAGAGGGCTCCCCCTGGATTTCTGACTCAATGTTTATACAAAGTAACAATGCATTTATCATAGGGTACACAAAATATATATTTGATCTCCCTGATGTCCATGTAAATGGAGAGAGGACTAGAAACCCTACACACAGGCATGCATGGACTTGGTATGCAGATTGTCACATATGTGATATGCGGACATATATTATTTATTATACCAACTATATCTATAGGATATGCAGAAAACAGATAGGCAGCTAGAGTGCTAGAAAGAGAGATATCAGTAGCTAGATAGATAGATAATCAATGTTTAGATAGCTAATGAACAGATAGATAGAATAGATAATGAATGGATATAGATAATGAAAGGATAGATAGCTGATGAATGGATAAATAAACAGATAGATACATTATTATCATTATTCAGGATTTATATAGTGCCAACGGTTTGCGCAGCGCTTTACAATATAAAGAAGACATTACAATGACAAAAAGAAGGAAAGAAAGACATAGATTTAGATTAAGAAGACACATGTACATATGATTTATCTAATATCTAGGAGCTATTGAATACCTAAGACAGCAGATAGGCAAATAGATATTGATAGATAGGTGGATAGATAGTGAATGGAAGGAAAGATAGAAAAAGAAAGAAAGAGAGAGAGAGATAACAGCATATGGGCAAATAGAGATAGATAGACAGATAGATAGATAGATAGATAGATAGATAGATAGATAGATAGATAGATAGATAGATAGATAGACATGCAGACGGACGGACAGATAGATAGTTTATTTATTAATTACAACTATGTTATAAATGGATGTGCAGATAGCAGAAGACGATATATGGATGGATAGATCACTTTTGCAGTCTCCAAAATTATTTCTGTCCATAGTAAAGGGTAAAGGCTGTATAGTGTATAGATGATGTGTGCCGAGACTTTGCTGAGTGAGAGGATGCTGCACTAGGCAGAGCACTATTGTCTTGGCTGGTGGTAAGGAAAGTGTAGGGCTGTATAATGTGGTGTGATCCATAGGTGGGAGGCTGGGGCTGGAGTTGGGATCTGTGACTCCTTGGAGTGAGGGAGGGTGAGTGATCCCTCCTCTAGTACTGAGGGCCCCTCCTTCTCACTGTGCTGACGGTATAATGATATAATCATGAGGGGTGTCAGATCCCGCATTTGAACTTGCAGCCAAACAGACTCTGGTTCTTCTTTCACAAGGACTCATTACAGACACACGCCGGAGACAGAGGTCTGGTACCAGCTGTCCAACGGGGGGAAATCTATAGCAGCACATACAGAGACTAACCCCAAAGCTGACCCAGGGATATACCAAGCCATCATCCACAGGCAACTCTGGAATAGCAGAATACATCACTGTACAACACTGGACTTCATGCAGCCAAGACACTAAGTCATCCTTAAAGGTAATATACTTTACTGGGTCTTTTTTTTGTCAATGGATTGCAGAACAACTAATTCAATTAAGCAGCAACAACAACAACAAAAAAAGTAGCAGCATTAATTTGGGCTTTTTGTTTCTTATTTGTATAAGGGGGAGATAAAGGCACAAAGATGCAGCACGTTGCAACCTGCATTTCACTTTAAGTTGCATTGTTCTGCAGAACAAAAGAGAATGTGTGTAGAGATGTAGTAGGTGTGATAGGGATGCACACACACATAAGGATGGTGATGACATGACATGACTGTGATCCCATCTGATAGAGAGCAGCACTCGTGTTCCTGGAAAGCTAACTCCTTTCTGTGGAGCTGCAGACAAACTGCTTTTGTCCAAGCCTTGGGAGCCACAAGGGGGTCTCAGGTTCTAGCGCAGAGAGAACAGAGCATTGTAGATCACTGATATATAAAGTCCATGGACCCCCAAACCCATTGCAATGAAAACGAACTGCTATGTATCTATCATATGCATGCAAAATGCGAATACAAGGTGATTGCATGTGGCAAAATTCTACCATGCAGCATTGCTGCCTAATATTCCTCCAAGTTACCTATTGCCACTCACAGTCCCATATTGATGGCATCTAGTGCAAGGGTCAGCTCTTGTTACAAGTTAATGAGTACATTTCTCTTAAGCCTGTTGCTGCCCAGGGCTGTGTACACTTTCCATGCTGTGGGAGCTCTCTATATCCTAAGAGGCAATATTGACTTCACAGATGTTAAGCCATATTGTTGAATTTCAATAGCTCTGTGTAAAGTAATGTCAACCCATTCAGGGGTACCAGTAACAGAAGGAAGCTGAATGACTTTATGTGACTAAGGATTTAGTATAGCCAAGGCGAAAAAAAAAAAAGAGTATTCTAAAAAAAAAGTCACAACCTCAGCTTGTCATTAAGATTTAGTGGCCTAGCTGCTGTAAATGAACCTGCTGTGCTCTATTCTGCTGCTAATCCGCGATAGTCGGGCTGATGTGTTTTATGAGGGTCTCTGCGCTGAGCGCTGCATTGTTCTGCTGCTGGAGATCCTGCGATGTCTAGGAATGTGCACAGCGCTAAAGCGGCTGCAGGCGACCTCTGCTGGAGGAACATGGTACTGCACTCCGCAGCATCTCCACCGCAGAGCTCCACGAGGTTCTCACACCCCCTTTGTGTCATTCTCTGCTGAGCATCATTTATTTCCCTTATCTAGCCATTTGCTTAGTCTAAAGTCAAACCGGTCTAGTTGTTAAAAATAGACGGATAGGATTTTCCCCAAACCTTTTTGTCCTCCAAACCAGCTATCAACTCTAAAAATGCAGCCCCTTGCTCTAAGACATTATTTTGGCTGCTGGTCTGGTGCAGTCTTGCAATGAATGTGTTATTATATTAGTGGGCATTCATGATCTCCCGAAGCTAGCAGCAATGCCAACTTTCGGTAGCGCCAAAAATGAGGCAATACATGTTAAAACCTTTATTTGCTATATTGATGAGTTCATGAAGCCAAGGACATCCATTACCAATCAGCTGCATAAAAAAAGTGCAAGTTCCAGCAAGCTGTGCCAGCTTTGGTCTGTAGGGGCATATTGTGCTTGGTGAGGGTATAATGTGCCAAGAGGACAGAGTACACTGGCATAAGAGTTACAATCTGTTAGCTTATATTTCAGTCTAGATGATCACTGCACTGATTATAATGTTTTCTGACAGCAACATATATGTTTATAAGAATCAAAACTGGAGCTTCCTATATAAAAAAGTAGCAGTTCAATTGGGCGTCATGTAAGTCAGTTAGTGTAAGTAGATGAATGATAAGCCCACTGGACAGAGCAGAGTTGTCCTGTGAATGGGGGACTGGGGAGTCCTGGCTGGGATCTGATTTCACCTCTGGTAGGATGCAGTCCCAGATGAGTCTCTCCTAACAAAAGCCAGCTGTCTCTATGAGCCACAGCTAGGGCGGTGACTGCAAAGAGAGGAGGGAGGGAAGCTGCAGTGTACAAACGGACAATGTCCAGGGAATATTCATTTTATCAATCGCCACGTGGACTAGGGAAATACAATACAGCATGGCCTTTATTTCCCTCACAAAAAAACTGCTGCCATGTTCGACATGAAAGCTGCAAACAAATCTCTTGTGTCATGTCATGTGTCTTAGGCCTGCCCGCACTGATTTTCCTACCTGGTTTTATATTTACTGACTTGGCACAAAAAGGGGGTCCTTGTACAGCTGAATTCATTAGTCAGCTTAAAACTAACTCATTCAATATGTGTTCTTTCAGAGCATTGGGATATTTTGTTAATAGGACATCAATTAGTGTGCAAGATACAGTTCCCTTGTAGCGGGCAATGAGTTGCCCATTAGCTTGGTCACCAAAGATTCTAGCAAAGTTTGCTTAAGAAAGAATGGTTCCCTATCTATCTATCTATCTATCTATCTATCTATCTATCTATCTATCTATCTATCTAGTACAAAATGGGTCCCTAGAACACTTTCAAGCTAGCTAGGAAAAAAACTAGCTAGTCTTAAGTAACTAACTAGTAATTTAACTAGTTTTAGTTGCATACATTTGCAAATATATGTGGGACCCACACTGCTGTGTCAAGGCATCTCTGATAAGTGTGGCCCCTAACTAAACTATCTGAGTCTCCTAATATATATATAGATCTATATATATATATATTATAT